GGTCGAAAGATCTTTTCAGAGATACTTGGAGCTTAAAACAAGTAGCGAGTGCTCCCGCCGCAGGTCCTCTCCTCCGGCTCTTCTCGCATGCTTACAAGGTTCTGTTAGGAAGAGTGCCGCCTGCGGGACCGCCTAAAACTGCTCGGGATCTTAAATTCATTGCACTGCCTAAACCTGAGAAGATAGATGTCTGACCTCCCTCTCCCCAGCTTTACTTGGCTTGATTATGAGGGTGGAAGAGCATATATACTGTCTCAAAACGGCACCTTCATTATTCCAGTCTTACTTCAAAATAAGAAAGAGCAGGTTTGCATAGCTAATACTCTTTTCCTTTGCCAAGGAAACCCAAAATGTCTTTTCTGGAAAATGTCTTCCTTCTTTGGTTAACTCTTACAGGCCACAACTAAAATCTTAGCTCTTAAAAGAAGAATTAGATCAGTTTCTAGAATATAACTACTTTTACATTGCCAGAAATATTCATTTTTATAGGCACATCTGATAGATCAATTGACAAGTTACTTTTGCGAGTTTCAATCAATTTCTCCTAAAGTCTCATCTATAGAATACAATGCAGCATTTAGGGAATGGTAACTAGAATATTGCACAATCATTCATGTTGTATAGTGTACCTCAGCTTAATTTCTATCCTATGCCAAATGTAACATTAAAAAGTAATCACATTCAAGGAGGAGGTCTCATGGAAAGGTAAGGGGCTAATGAAAATGTCTAGAAATCTAGGAGTTAGACTGTAAAGCAATCACAGATATTTGGGAGAGAAATAAATCGTCTTGCTCTAGATCATTAGCTAGCAGCTGCTAACTAATAGGGGTTAGGAAGGAACTTTGACTGTGGATGGTTATTCCATGACCTCCTGCTGTCACTCTTACTTTTCTGTGAACTGAGCAGCTGATACTGGCTGCTACTCAAGTAAGGCCCTGGACCACAAGAGTGGTTTGGGAAGAATGCAAGAATTGCACTGTATTCTTTTTCTTCTTTTTTTTTCCCCCCCCCGATTAATCTGCTGAACAACTTGTGTACAGATAGACTGTACTGAACAATTACAAATCAATATTGTTTTGCTCATCTGTCAGATCATGAAACCAAGGCAGAGATGCTTGGAAATTACTTGTGTTTCTATGCAATGGAGATAAAGCACACCCATATCCGAAACCCCTGTCTCCTGTGTCCCATCTATGTACCTTCTCTACTGGATCCCATCTCTCCCCAGTAACATGGCATGAAAGCAGAAGCTCCTCTGCGATGTTCCTTTGTCATGAAAATAAATTGTATTCCTTTGTAATTCCTCAACCTAGTGATGAACAGTCTGAAATGAACCGTAGAATGACACAAGATAAGGGAGGGGAGAAGAACCTTACCTAGCAGTATGTTTTCCTTTATCTACTCCAAGAAATTCTAGTGGTTTCTTCTGAAAGAATAAATTGGCATGTTCTTCAAACAAGACATGTGGAATGTCCTGTCTTTATAAAATGTGGATGATAATTCTGATCCCGTTGAGATAAGCAAAACAGAATACACTTACAATTTCCTTTTCATTATTCCGAGCAATGGACTTACTTTTTTTTTAAAAAAAAAAGCATGTACCTTTCAGAAAATGTGTAACCGTCTGTTCCTATACTGCAGCTTAAAGCTGTTTGTTAGGGGATGCTTGAGCATCAGTGTTGTTATAGTTGTCTCAAGTTTGTTTTTTTTCTTTAGATGCTTTCCAGTTTTCAGGGAACTCTGTAGCTTTAGAAAACAGCACCAACTGACTGAAGTTGGTTACACAGTTAAGTCCTAAGTAGTTTGTGACCAAAAGTGAAGTATTAAGTTATTGCCTAACTTTACCTAGGTTGCTGAGATTAGGGGGAATTAGTCTTCATGGCAGCAATCTGCTGCCTAAGCCATGAAACACCCCCATAAATTGATTCTTGCAGCTCAAGTTCATTCCCCGAACATTACCCATCCTCTATGCTAAATGAAGCAAAGGCCTTGGTGAATAATAAAAACCAGCAGGCATTTAGTTAAGACTACAGGTAGATACAATCAGTAAAATATTAACAGTTTTAATGTATACAGCTAGTATAGCTCAACTCAGAGTAGACCTGGAAAATGTAACAACGCTTGCTTGACAAGTTGGTAAAAGCCTGAGCAACCTGATGCAATCTGACAAGTATGACTATGCTCCATCCAAAACTCAAAACTCCTCAATTCCTAAAAAGCCTGTACTTCCAGCTGCAGATTCACAGATTCTCATTCTGTTCTAAAAAGAATTTTGTCTTTTGAAGGGTTTGTTTCACTCTAGAATGCAGAATTAATTTAGATTAATTAAAATTCCCTTTCTCTGAACTATCATTATAAGTTACCTTCCCATCTGAAACCCTGGGACTCTGGTGTTTAAAATGCCTTTATCCCAGCGATGCATATGCTTCATAGTTATATCTCTAGGACTGATGGTGCTAGAGGCATTCCATTTCTTTAAAAAAATTTTTAAAATTTCAATTGTACACAGCTCTGGTAGGGAGAGGCAGTGGATAGACTTCTCTTTTTTTTTTTTTTTTTTTTTTTTAAAACCTTCTTCTTCACTGCTCATATGTAAAGGTGTACATAAAATGAACAAACATTAATAACTGATCTTCTAAAGGAAATACTATGATTATTCTCTTCCTTGGTCAGACAAGTAGGCTCATGGCCTTGTGAAATTCTATGCTTCAAAGACTTGGATAGAATCTAAACTCTTAAGATTTTTCACAGTATGAGCACCTGTGCATAAGACTAGTGTTTACAGATAGGAATCCTGTCCTAAAGTGACAGAAACAAATAGGCTGTCATCACAGAATACTGTTTCTGTTAGCCTCTCTGCCACCTATGAAACCTTTATGTGGGCATCAATACACGCTGTTCCACTTCATTGCATCATGAAAAAAATACAGATGGTGTAGATAGAAACTGCATACTTGAACATTTGTACTTTCAGACTGTGTGGGCCTGGAACTAATGAACATCCTAACCTGCTGTGGTTTAGTCAAAATGGTGGTTCTATCCAGCATGAACTGGAAGACAGCAAGCACCAATTTAGTGAAATGTAGCACTATTAATTTCCATTGTGTTGGGTTGACCTTGGCTGGATGCCAGGTGTCCACCAAGCCACTCTATCACTCCCTTCCTCAGCAGGATGGGAGGGGAAAAATAAGATGGGGGAAAAAAACATCATGGGTCAAGATAAAGGCAGTTTAATAAAGCAAAAGTCATGCATGGAAGCAAAGGAAAAATGAAGCAGAGCTTCAGTATGCATAGCGGTTGCTCCAGAAGACATCATAAATAACAAACGCCCTCTCTTCCTCCTCCTTTCTCTTGGCTTTTATTGCTGAGCAGCCATCATACGGTATGGAATATTCCTTTGGTCAGTTCGGGTCAGCTGTTCTGGCTGTGTCCTCTCCAAAGATCTTGCCCACCCCCAGCCTACTGGTGAGGAGGGAATGTTGGAGAGACAGCCTTGGTGCTGTGCCAGCACTGCTCAGAAGTAGCCAAAACCCTGGTGTGTTGTCAACACCTTGCTGCTACCAATACACAGCATTATGAGGGCTGCTGTGGAGATAATTAACTCCATCTCAGCCAGACCCAATACAATCTTCCAAATGAAACTGCTTAAATGGAATAACATTGACAGGTGGCAGTTAACAGTACTGCCGTTCTGTTGTTGCCAAAATTTCTGTGGCTCATCATCCACAGTGCACTGAAAAAGAAACCTAAGTGTTTCTGGGAAGGCTGGCTGTTGGATTTGTTGAGGTTTATTTGGTTTTGTTTGGGTTTTTTTCTTCCTGCTGCCAGAGAATTTCCAGGTATGTCAAGAAGGGCTGCCAGAGGGTTTGTCCGCCTGGGTTAACTGAAGATGCAAACTTACCCACTGTAGTCCTTTGATGCATTCTAAGTACCAGTCTGAGCTTGGGAGAACGGGAATCACTTCTTGGTTCTGCCACCACTTTCCTGTATACTCTTGAGCTAGTAAAAAAAAAAAACAACAAAACAACACAAAATTTTCACAATGATAGACTGTGAAGGCATGGTCTTTTGATTCTGGGATTTCTTCTTAACACACTAAGAAGAGTTTCTACTATTTAAATAAACATGTTATAAACAATTATTAATGTAAATTGCTCATCTTCCTTAAGAGGAGGGTAGAGATGTAACCTGAGCACAAATTGTTCAACTAGCTAAAAAGAAGCTATATCAAACAGAGTTTGCATTTTAAGAGTCAGCTCCTATTCAACAGTAGTTGCCACGAACTTCAAGCAGATCAAAACACAAGTCTTAGAAACCAGCTAGGTTTCACAGTGCTTTAAACAAAACTCCTACGTGATGTATACTGGAAATGAGGATTGTTCATAAGAGGAATGGCCCCAAAAATGTGTTGCACTGCTTACTTCCAGCCCTCTTGTGAAATGCCTCTTGTGTGCTATCAATAGATGATGAACTTCATACACTGTTGCCCACAGAGTTAGCAACCAGAGATCTTTCAGGAATCTTTGCAGTGAGCTTTAGATTAGACCATCTTTACTATTAATTGTAAACCTGGTTTTCAGTTAGCACACTGAGTAAGGTACCATTCTGAGCTCTGCCATAGGCAAATTTTATAGCTTTCTCTAAGCTTGACTTTGTTATAAATGAAATAGAAGCAAGGATTGCTTTTCTTGCCTGCCTGGAATAAAATGCAGTTTGAAACTGAAAATCTCTGGGAAGAGATTTATCCCTCATGTATACAAAAGGTGCCTGGGTGTTGGACGCTCCCAATGTTATTGTAATATTGCTATGAAATATTGTTGGTGTTTTTTCCTCCTCTTATTCACCATAGTTTTAAGCTGAAGTGACAAGCTCACTACACTAACTGATTTGAAATGGATAAATGAAAAGCAAAATTTGTTAATCTACTTATATAGGAATAAGGGTTTGACTACCATTTTTGGTCTCAGAAATTTATTCATGTTATCCTTGCTCTCTTGCAGAATTCTTGGCCCAGAAACCCTTGTACTGCTTCAATCTGACATCCATGCAGGATTCAGAGATGATCCTTGCTGCCACTTTTCACTTCTATGCTGAAAAACGCCCTCGGCACCGAGAAGTGTTTTGTAAGCGGTCCAAGAACTCATCCTGCCGCCTCCTTCACCTGCCCCCGAACCTGCAGCTCAACCTCATTTTCCAAAGCATTCATCAGAATTCTGCCTATGGGCTAGTGAAAGGGAACATCACCGTATCTCTTCAAAGGCGAGGGGCTTGGCATGCAAAGGACATTTCACATATCATAAAAGAATCAAAACGGGCTGGAGAGCTCATTCTCTGCGCTGAGCTTGATTCTGGGGAGAAACACCAGGGCTTCCCTGAACAGGTTGCCAGTCATTTACCTTATATACTAGTTTACGCCAATGATCTTGCAATCTCTGAACCTAACAGTGTGGCAGTCACTCTACAGCGTTATGATCCATTCCCTTCCAATGATAGAGACCCAAATCTATCCCCTAATGCTTCTACTGATACCCGAGTGAGGAGGGATACATACCTCTCTAGCTCTATTCAAAACAATGAGTTGCCAGAAGTAGATTATAACAACAACAAATACAACAAACACGACATATGGGAGAATGCCTACAAGTCCTTGAAACCAAAAGCCTCACGCAAAGATCGAAGGAGAAAAGGGCAAGAAAATACAGAAACACTTACAAAGTCTCAGGTGCTAAATTTCGATGAGAAAACAATGAAGAAAGCAAGGAGGAAACAATGGAATGAGCCAAGGATTTGTTCAAGAAGATACATGAAAGTTGACTTTGCTGATATTGGCTGGAATGAATGGATCATATCTCCCAAATCATTTGATGCCTACTACTGTGCAGGGGCATGTGAATTTCCAATGCCCAAGGTAGTATGCCTTTTCATTGTTGTTAGCTTGCCAACAGTAGGTCTACTGTTCTGCCTATCCAACTACTTAGTTAGATTTTCTGTTAGATTTTTACCTTTTTCACTGTGTTCTGTTGCCTTGTGCAGGCTAAATAATTTTAGCAATAGCATTTCCATCAACTTATAAGAGGGGCAAAAGATTCCAAGTTATCTTTAAATGTAATCTAAAGAAAAATATCTCTGGTTTATCTTACAATTTCTCATCTTATATCTTGAAACCATACCATAAACATTTATGCAGCTTACTAAAATATGGTTACACACTAAATCATCAAACTACTCTGTTGTGGTAGCAGAAGTATTAAGTATTATATGCTAATAATGAAACAAGGTACTGTATGAGAGTATTTCTGAATTCCACTGGTAATACCTTAGGAGAAAAATGCAGAGTAGTGACACTGAGGTATTTTTAACTTTAAGAAACTGCTTGTTACTTTGAAAATAAGAATGCTTATTAAGCCGATATTTGCATCTCAAAATTCTCTCATGCTTTTTTAATTTACTAAATTCTTAAAATTAAGATAATCCTGCTG